CCTCTGAGTTCTCTCTTGCTGCTTGTTTATTAAACTAATCCAACCAGGTAGGATGCAGTGAATTTAGAGTCCTTCCTTCAGGGGAGGGGGAAGATACGCCACCCCCTCTTCCATCAGATACAATCAGAAGAGGGAAAGGAAATTCCAATCACTTTTGAGCACCTTCGGAAGTTGAAGTGTAAGTGAATAAATGAGTGAATTACCTTGCCCTTCCTGGGAGAGGAAAATATTAACTTGGGCTAAAAAGCACTTGAGATAAAGAGAAAACAACTCTTTCCTGTTCTGAATCTGAAGGAACGAGTCCTTCAGACTTAATGCGGACCAAGTATCAGCTGGTACATACAGCAGGATCTTGGGAGCATGGTGTCTAGCCCCTATGTTCTTAATGCCTCTTTACCTATAGGATTCCATAAACTTTAACGCAGAATTTTTACAAAAACCTTGACAGAACATCTTGCAAAAACAAAGAAATGGATGGCAGCATTGTAAAAGTGGCTTCTGTAGCTTCATTGTCTGCTGATCCATCTGTCACAGCATGACTGCTCAGAACTAAGACACAGTTGTTAAAATCCTATTAGTTTTGCCCGCCAGTCTAACACAATGGGCATAAATATTGGTGGTGAACTGCAGCAAAATTACTGTATTTTTCCATTTATAAGACAATCCAATGTATAAGATGATCCCTCCCCCTTTTTTCTAACCCCAAATTAGAAAAAGCAGGGATCAAAGGGCTCCCTTTTTGCAAAAGGCAAGGAAAGAGGCTGTCAAAGTGACTGCTGCTTTTCCTTGTCTTTTGAGAAGGCACCAAGCTTAGCAAAAATGAAGGGAACAACGCCTCCCCTTCCTTTTTGCTAAAGCCCAGCATGCCTTTGCTTTTTGAGAAGGCACCAAGCTTAGCAAAAAGAAGAAGGAGCAACGCCTTTCCTTCCTTTTTGCTAAGTCCCATGCCTTCGCAGTGGTAAAGAGTTGCCTTCCGTGTATAAAACAACCCTCATTGTTTTTCAAGGAAAAAGTGTTGTTTTATATGCTGAAAAATATGGTAAAAACTTAGTACATCTATTTGCTGTCGACCTGTGCACAACAGCAAATTCTTACAGTAACATCCACCAAATTCCTTCCAACAATTTGCCACCAAGATTTATGCCAACTGCATTATGCCGGCATAAAAACTCAATAGTATTTTGGATGCTGAGTTCAATGAGATTTAGGTCTAGGTAAACCGCTGCCAGATTGCATGGTAAATGGTTTTTTTAATCAGCTAAAGTTAAGAAAGTGAAGATTCAAATCAAATGGACACAGTCTACTCAACCAAATTAATATGAGATATCTTTGTGACCCCCATTTTCTACATGTGTGTGTCTCACCCATGTGGATATTCAAGTTGCACATACGTGTTCTCGCCTTTCACTTCAAATTTCTATTAGTTTATGAGACTAAAAGAGTGAAGCAGTTTGCATTCCTTGATTTAAAAATTCCTTATTCCAATACTGCTGCCACCTCATAACGTTAATTCTTTTTGCTTAACCTTTTCACGCTTTAATAGCTAGGCTTATGGAGGTTCCAGTACTTAAAACCAAGCAATAAGAAGATGTTAGATTTACACCCAGCAAGACATCCAAGCAAGGGACCCCATTTGGGTCGCAGACTTAATATATAAAACAAAAAAAATCTCCCACGTTGTCTGCTTCACCTTAAACTGCAAACTGGTCAATTGATCAGCTGTCCCTCAATCTGCCAGTTGGGATTTCGGACAGTGCAAACTTCTCTGGTACGCATTCAACAGAAGACCCATTTTTTGTCCTCATTTACAATTCTATTTGAATTACAGGAACTATTTCTAAATGTACACCTATCTGTATAAATTTGCATACCTGAATTTCATGCAAATTCATGCCCTCTTTTTTTGCCAGCTTGTATGTGGTCGGCCACTTCATCCCTCAATCCAAAAATACTGCCCTGCAAATATTGCCATAGACCATTTTTAATTTTCTTTCTCTAGGTCTCATTCAGTATGACTAACAGGACAACAGACTTTTTCTGTGCATAAAGCGGGTCAGAAATAACAAACAAAACTGCATATTTTATCAAGAAATGCATGTTGCCAAACTAGTGTTTACCAAGATAGCTCGGATAGTACTACCTGCTCACTGGCAGGGGAAGATTAGCACTGGGTGGAAAGGATGCTTAGTCCCTCATATTACTAATATGATAATTAGTTAGCACTTGCATAGTAGACTATTAGGTGTAATGCATGTACAGTATTCCTCACTATGTCTTCTTCACTTCTATGTATAGATCCGTGGTTCCCAACCTTGGGTCCCTAGATGTTCTTGGATTAAAACTCCCAGAAGCCTTCTCCACTAGCTGTGCTGGTAAGGGCTTTTGGGAGCTGCAGTCCAAGAATGTCTAGGGACCCAATCTTGGAAACCAGATGAATGTTCTCAAACTAGACAGACAGATGGACAAACAGACAGAAGTGGCATGTCAACCACTACTCTTTCAGCAAATAGTCCTTATTCAAATGTCTATATGTCAAAAACAAATTCCTTCACTTTATCAGAGTAGCAGTGGTCATTATACTGGGAGCTTTTTTCTCCCCCTCCTAGCCTCTTCTTGAAGTTTTTCCTTAAGATTATCTCCTCTGTGGTATCCCTAAACTTTGAATGCCAAACTTGCTGAGGAACCTACTGTTTCCTGTAGAGTCTGGGAGCAGAATCAGTCTCAGCCAAGTGGACAATTTTCCCTATCTAGTCTGAAGCTTTGAAAACACTGTTCAGTAATTTCACTTATACTTTATTTTTCTGACTTGGATATCATGACACCAACGTTCCTGAGTACCCACCATGGTGTAGAGCAGTGGTCCCCAACCTTGGGTCTCCAGATGTTCTTGGACTTCAACTCCCCATGCCTACTAAAACCTAGCTTTTCCCATGGACAAGATGCTGCATATCCATTTTTCAACAGAATTTGTGGCAAAAGGCATATATTAGCAGGAATTCTCTTTCTGTCTTGCATTTTTAGGGAATAACATCTGTATTACATTTGTTTACAACAGATATTAAATAGATTGTTCATGGGATCCATGTATGGAGGAGAGAAACTTTATTCCTGCTGATACTATTCATCATCTCCTGAATGGAGATGCTCTTACAATGTTGTGCTCTTAGACAGAGGTCTGCAGATATTGTGCTTAGACTATTGGTTCCCCACCTTGGGTCCCCAGATGTACTTGGTCTACAGCTCCCAGAAATCCTGGCTAGCAGTTCTGGGAGTTTTAGTCTTAAAACATCTGGTTTGAGAACCATTGGTTTAGACCAGTGGTCCTTAACCTTGGGCCTCCAGATGTTCTTGGACTTCAACTCCCAGAAATCCTGGCCAGCAGAGGTGGTGGTGAAGGCTTCTGGGAGGTGTAGTCCAAGAACATTTGGAGGCCCAAGGTTGGGGGGCACTGGTGTAGAGGACAGAGTGACAGACTAGGATACAGGAGACCTGGATCTGAATTTCTACTTGAGCATGGAATCTCTCTGGTGGGAATGTGGGGATGTAGAACTAATAAAACCACTCCTTAAACATCTTCAGCATGGAATCTCTCTGGTGGGAAAGTGGGGAACTAATAAAACCACTCCTTAAACATCTTATGTACCTTGAAAGCCCTATTAGGGTTACTTGAAGACCATTATGAATTGATGGCATCTAACAAAAAACCAACAGTGTTCCCAAATATGACTACAATACAATGTTTCTTAAGAATGAAACAAAATAGAGACAGAGACACTTTTTAGAGAGAAAGACAAGGAAACACTACTTTGCTAACAATTTACTGGGAACAATGACTTCCTGAGCATTACTGAAATGAATACGAATTGCCCAGCACTACCAGACCATAATTCTTGTTGATTTCTATAAACTTCCAAAGTTCCCAAACCACTCTTTCATCTACCACACTTCTTACTATTATGTCTCCCCTAATGTAACTTACTGAGACATCTAAACTCAGATGAACTGAAAAAAATTGTCATTTTAGGAAGACAAGAATTTTAATTTCACTGAAAGAACAAACTTGCTGGGAACAGCTGGAATAAAGCCAAATTCACTCCTCAAACCACCAAGGAATGCACTTATCCATCTGCTGTAGGATGACAAAACTTATATCCTATTTAGCTCAGCAATGCTGTGAGGCTGAGGAGTAGGACTTATCCAAACACTCTCCCAAGTTCTATAATTAACCTCAGTTGTGGTGCTAAAGATGAAACAGAGTGCTGGGTATTTCTTGGCCGTCATGCTAAGATGCACGAGCCAGCAAATGTCATCCATGGCATGAAATCAACTTGGCATAAAAGTAATACAATATCTTTCAATGAGACTTCCCCATGCAAGGAGTATCTTTACAACCATGAGCTTTAAATGTCTCTCTTTTGGTGGGCACATTCCATAAAGCAGGAATCAAGAGTTATTTTTAATGTGATTTTTGCAGTTGCTTGGCAATAAATACCCCAGGAATGGATACTTTAATTCACACAGGAGAGTTCTATGTCTCTTGACAGCTTGCACCCTAAAACAGAATTGGGTCCAAAAATGGCAGCATGATTTCATTTACTCCACAAAGTTAAAGAAATGTCCCATACCATTGCAGCTTGTTCAATTATCTCTCTTCCAATTCTATCGTTGAATACTTTTCTTAATAATTCCTCTGGAAGATTTACCAAACCTTTTTGCAACCACACACTGGGTGATAAACGTCCTTCAGTGCCGAATTCTGAAGCATGCCATAAGTTTGATAGCCAGATATGATAGTCACATTCTTTATCACTACTACAATTCATCAAACATATGCACAACTACAGTATGATTCGTTTATGACCTTTTCCTACCACACCAGGCCTTGATTAGGGGAAGAAAAAAAAAAACCCACACAGCAATCACTATTTACAAATTGAGACTTCAGAAGTTTTTCAAAAACAGCACTTAAATAGGGTATAAGAAGATTCAGCGCTACTTACTGAATACATCCCCTCGTGGTTTCTGAGGATCAACTGGGATCCTGTTGTCAACAGTAAATCCTTGTTGAGGAGTAGTATCACTAGGAACAGGCAGTGGCTCTTTCGTTGTCAGTCTTGATATTCTTGTTGTTATAGGCTTAGATGGAGTTGGGGGTGGTGTTGGGAGTCTGGTCAGTGGTGGGAATCTGGTCACTGGTGGAAGTCTTGTCACAGGCTTCAGAGGTGGTCTTGTTGTTGCAGGTTTTGTAACAAACCTGGTAAATGGTCTCTGTGTTGGCTTCAAGGTTGGCTTTTGAGTGGGTCTTGCCGTTTTAGGAGTAGGCTTTATTGTAGCTAAGTCTGGTACATGTGGTGGCTTAATGGGATGTCTTGTATTGCCCATTTCAGGTATTCTATTCGTCATGCCGCCATTGCCTTTAGGAAAGGTTGTGTTGCCCTTAAACATGTGATACGGGCCAGATGGATCAATCATAACTTTTGGAATAGCTGAAGAGACAGGATGGGGAAAATAAATACCAACTATGGAAAATAAATACCATCTATCCTAGATGACTCTTTAGGGTCTCTTCCAACTCTACAGTTCCATGATTTGCTCTGAATGCAACTCCACTGACAGCAACAACTACTAATATTTTACTCATAGTTGTTATTACTACTTGTTCTTCTCTTTTAAACAGAAGTATTGTTTTATGGCAATAAAATTCTACTTGAAAGAAAATACGTTATTTCATAATACTCCATGAGAGGATGCCTGACTGAAGTCATGGCCTGGAAAAGTTACTTTTCTGAACCACAACTGCTAGATTCTCACAGCTAGCATGATTACTGGACATGCTGGAGAGGGGATTCTGAGACTTATAGTCCAAAAAACCAACTTTTCCAGCCTCAGGACTTCCAAAATCATGCCTCTTCAGATGTCCTGTATTACAATTGTCATCTTCCACACCCAACTGAGTCTTCCAGCATAAAACATGTGAAGGGCACCCAGTTGATGAAGGGTAGCCTAAGACAAGGCTTTTTAGTAATGTGGAACCAGAAAAGTCCCTTTTAGCTATGTGCTTCAAAACATAGTAGAGGTAGGTACCACAAACCACACATTCAAGAACCTATTCATACCACACAAACTGGATAACATTGGTATATATCTAATTTTAAAGTATATATACTTTAAAGTATATCTATTTTAAAGTATACATATATTAAAGTATATGTATTTAACACGCTAGGTCAGAAGACCAGCAGACGTAAGATCGAATCCACATGATGGAGTGAGCAGGACAGGGAATTCAAATTAGAGGGCTAACCGTTGGTTGGCGAAGAGCTTCTTTGTAGCTCTTTCACCCAACGGTTAGTCTGTGTGCATTTGCAGAGAGGCTTCGGACTGCCTGGTGCTGCTTTCTGCTTCGGGGTGAGTACATTTACAGGGTTTTGCAGGGTGAGTTTGGGTTTGGGGGTGTTATGTTTCTGTGCTGTGATTTTTTTTGTTTTGTTTTTGGTGTGTGTTTTTCCCCAGCTCCATCACGTTCCGATGAAGCTGGCTGTGGGTGGGTGTGGTTTCCCCCCCAGCCCCATCGTGTTCCAATGGAGCTGGCTCTGTGTGTGTGTGTGTGTTTGTGTTTTTGTCCCCAGCCCCAACACATTCCACTGGGGCTGGCTGTGTGGGTTTTTTGATTCCCCTACCCCAGCCCCATGACATTCCGATGGGGCTTGGAGTGAGGTTTTTTGTGATTATTATTTTTGTCTGGAATGGATTAATCGCATTCCAATGCATTCCTATGGGAAATGGTGCTTCGACTTACGACCATTTCGAGTTACGCCCATCTTCTGGAACGGATTATGGTCGTAAGTTGAGGCACCACTGTATCAGCATTCTTAGTTCTCCATAAAAAATAATTAGGAAATGTAATTATTGCCAGTGGAAATAACTTCAAATCTGCTACAAACATAACACTGATTTTCTATCATCCAGATTCTCTAATGAGGATTGAAATGTCACTGTACTAGGATCTGTACCAAGACACACAGAGACAGTCAGTCAATCCCTTACCCCACATCTCCCTCTGAGATGTCGTCTCAGAGAGAACCACATTAAAAGGATCTTGTTCACCTCTGCCATGTGCCTCAGCTGAGCCAAAACCCGTCTCATTTTCAATAGTACCGAAAGCTGGTGGAAGATTTAGTACTATCAGCAAAGCTGGTAGTCAGGTTCTCCAAAGAAAGAGATCTTTGTCACACTTTAACTTATTGTTTCAAGACCAGCTATCAAGATCTATCAAAATCTTGCATGCATCTCTCATGACCATGATCAAGTTTGTATGCAAAATCAAAAATAAACACAATGCCAAGCCCATCTGTGCACAAGTTTAACCAACAAACCACCTCGGTTCTTATTGACATTTCCACATGCAAAGAACTCTACTACCACTCAGTGAAGGGAAAGAAAGCACAAACATGTCTACTTGCAGAAAGACCTAGATGTCTTTAAAATTTAGCAGCATGCTCCGAAAACCATGCAGGAAACAAAACTAAATTTTGGCTCTAACTCTGCAAAGTCCAACACTCAATTAAACTATGTTAGTTCCCTTAAAACCTGGAGCAGGGAACCTGCACTCCTCCAGGTATTTCTGGACCACAACTCTTATTATATCACTTACTACTGGTAAAGTTGGCAAAGGCATGTAGGGAGTAGAATTCTATCAACATCTGAAGGGTGACACATTCGCCACTCTTGCCTTAGAGTTGCTACATAAATAAGGCTACTGCTGTTTTCAAAACACTGAAGAGCAACCCCGTGCAGAGGTACAGGGACTACAAAGTAGGGAAGGAAGATTTATGAATAAATCATTATGCTCAGCAGTAGCTTTCAGAAACTCTCCTAAAGCTCAGGAAGAGGACTCTCCCAGCCCTTGTATGTGAAATTTTCTTCTTTGCTCATTGGCGGAAAGACAGCCGGAAGCGGGCCAAATTAGCCTTCTTTGGAAAGGAGTTCAACTGCCTGGGATAAGGTATTGAAAAGACTTTCTCTAAGAGGGACCAAGAGAAAATGATCCCCCATTGATCCCAAAAGTCAGGCAGGCTTGGACAGGATAATACAGCCTCTTAGATAGCCTGGATCCAGCCCTGGCCAACAGTTCAGAAGCAACCTTTCCGACCAACTTAAAGCAAAGCAAAAGCCAAATGGGATCCTCAGATATAATGCCCAATAATGCATAATGCTCAGTCTGGGTGCTTTGCAATTTAATTATGAAGGCTACATAATTTAAGAATATTAACACCCCTTGAAGGCAGTCCCATGTAAAATACAGTAATCCAACAGGATGGCATGCACCAGCCTGGCCTGATCAGACATGTCCAGGAATCTTAACTACTCAGAAGAACAAACATAGCTCATAGCCTGCAAGCAATGTTCCCTCTAAGCTGCATGACTGCACAGCACTGCATTGGTGCCATGCACCTGTAAGCCAGTGTTGCCGCCCATTTGGTTCCAGACATTGCTGGAAGCCCACACACATAGGGCAGGGCCCCCGCCCAGTGCTGGCAGAAAATTAGAGGGACTGTTGTCTGCAAATGTTAACAAACTACACCAAAAACTTGGGAGACAAGGCCGTGCTTTTGCTAAATGCAAATAACAGGCTGCAAAACATTAAAACAATCAGCACAATGTACAGAATGGAACTGTGATCTGAGTTCACTGTATTTTAATTCCAAAAATGAAAAGAGCTTTTGGAAAAGTATTTTTGTCCTGACCTATGAAAGCTTGCTTGTAAAACTTTAAATACATCATCCCTCTCCTTTAAAATCCTTGAATGAAATGGAGACGGACCACGACTGGCTCACAAAATTGACTACCCAAGTTTTCCGTTTGTTTTTTGGATTGCAAGAAGGAAAGGATCATTACGTACCTATGCAGTTCATTCCATCAGTTCTGTATCCTTCTTTACATTTACATTTGTAAGATCCCAGAGTATTGTAACATTGTGAGAAAGTTCCACAATGATATTGGCCAAGTGAACATTCATCTATGTCTGTAACAGGGAAAAAAATGAACAAGCATTTTCTGTGGGACGTAAACTATGTCTCTCTCCCCCCCCCCCCCCAAATTAAACATAATTCTGTCTCCTTTAAAATAGTGACACAAATCATAGTTTTATTTTAAAACACTGGAATACTGATGGTGGAAAACAAAGACCTTGACAGTTATTGGCGTTTATGGTATTTTGCATTGTAACCCAATACAAAATGTTTCAAAGGGTCATTGGAAGTGACCTTCCACAGCTATTGTTTAAATGTTTTAAATGAACACTTTTTAAAGGAGGGTTACCAACAAGGTTCTGAAGTCTCAAGCTACTTGAATCATGGCTTATTTTGTAGAGTTGGAAATAAGCAAGAAATAAATAGATGCATTTTAGAATATGTGTTGGATAGTTTGCTTTAGGGAAATAAACATTTTTCATGGCACATACTGGAATGTCACATTGGAATGCAACCATCTGAAAGTTGCATTGATGTCTACATTCAAATGTGCATCCATGCCCTGATGAAGATTTGTATAAATACCTTGCAAACGTGCATCTAGAGTTAGAGCATCTGTGTTTGTTTAAATTTGTTGCCACGCAGCCAATTGTCCTCTGCTTATCGGAAAATCTTATGGCAATGACTCAGTTAGGAATGAGTTCAATGGTGATCCCAGGAATAGTAATTATCAGGATTTAAGTTGGTGAAAGCGTCCCAGATCAGGATATAGATTGCTGAAAAGTTCCTGGATCTCAGCCATTTGTAGAACAAATTTAAATGTGGATGTATCTTTGCAAACAGATTGCCAGATTGTGCTTCTGGAGAATGGGATATTTGTATAATCCTTCACAGGAAGAAAAACATCTTACCAAGAAATCTTAGATTATTTTAAATGATAAAATCTACATTTGCAATTTGCTCTTCACTATAAAAAGTTTGTGCCATAGCTATGCATCTTGCGTCCGTAGCTTCTTAGTCCTCTAAACCCCAGTAATCTCACATTAGTATGCATTCACAGAGACCACTAGGAAGAACCATTTGATTTCCCGCAGCATCTCTGATCTAGCATCATTATGGAACTACAAAAAATTTAACAGGGGGTTAGATCCAGCTGCACTGTGTAACTCAAGAGTTCTGTCATCAACATAATATAATCATCCCCCCCACAGCCACCAAAAAAGGAGGAGCAACTGTAGTAGGGCCCCATATCAACGGGGATGGCTTCCTAGACCCATCCTACGCATGGATGCTCGAAAACACAGATTATAGCGAATCCTATTTTAAAAGAAACGGCTACAGATAGCATGGTCTCTGATACCCTCTAGTGGCCAGTTCTTGTAATGGCACCATGGAAATATATTTCTCCAGCAAATGCTATATATAGCATGGACAGTGACCAGATCTGGTAAGTTTTTTTGTTGTTGTTAAAAATATGTATTTAGGGATTATTCTTTTAATATCTTTAGTATTTTCAGACCATGGATAGGCGAATCAGTGGATACTGGTTCCATGGATAAGAGGATCCTATTGTATATTTTTCCCATTGAACGAACCCTGGTTGATAGGTGTCAGAACTATTTTAGCCTTCGGCAGGCTTCACCATATTATACTAAATCTCAAATAACTGGTAAAGCAACTGAAATAACAACTGTACTATAAAGAGTGTCCATGTGTCCTCTTTTAGGAATAATAGAACTCTCTCTGAAGAGCTACCAGAGGTTAAGCCTTTTTAAAAGGTCTTCTCTGTTTGAAGAGCTGGCCAGTCCAGATATTATTTCAGGTGAAAAAACCATAAAGTAGTTGCTTACTGTAATTCCAATTAAATTGCAAAAGTCACTTCAAATTTTGCATCTGTGCATATAAATATGTGCAGTTTTATGCATTTTCTAAATCCTCGTTTTCAATGAAGTACAGCCTACTTTTTGGTGATCTATTAAAGGTTGAGTGGCTACCCTAAGCCTAATACAAGAGAAATGCAAAGTATTCTAGGAAAACTGACCTGCATGTTAGATGAGACAAGGAAATTTCTCCCCAAACAGCACATCAAGTTCTCCCTTACCTCCTCCATAATTTAAAGCAACATTAAACCTGAGTGATCATCATCACGATGACAGTGTAACAGTTCTCTACTTTGCACTAGTTGCAACTTGATGATGAAGCTGATGAATTAAAACAAATAAACAAACAACAAAAAGAACACCAGACTGAAATAGGGTCTGGAAGCGGGAAGCATAAAATACCACGATCAGAATAGCACAGTACAGACTGCCCTGTATTATAGAAAAGGAGCAGGTTTTTCTCCCATAGTACAGAGTTCTGCCTGAAAGCAGTTGGCCATGATGCAACAGTTATATCTGCAAGCACACAGGGTTTCGTTTTCTATTAATTGTTTTTGATGCATCGATTTCATTACCGTGGCACTGGTATTTCCCTCCGATGTACATCAAATCAAAACCTTTATGACATTTGCAAATATAGCTTCCAAAAGTGTTGACGCACTTCCTGAATCGAGGACATGTAACTCTCCCACTGGCACATTCGTCAACATCTGCAAGTAAAAACCCATTAAACATTTGCATCAACAAGTCTAACTATCAACCTTCTAGGCTCACAAAGCTACAGCTGTTATTGCTTGGGATCTGCACATATATATATACAATGATGCCTCACTAGACAATAGTCCGTTCCACTGAAATCGCCGTTTAGCGAAATCATTGTCTAGCAAAAAGCATTTCCCTATTGGAATGCATTGAAACCTGTTTAATGCGTTCCAAGGGAGAAGAATCGTCGTTGTCTAGAGAAGATCAGCCATAGGAAAGCCGCTTTGCGAACCGCCGATCAGATGTTTGAATCGCTGTCTTGCAAAGCTTAGGTCACGAAAACACCTGTTTTGCGAGCGCGGAGGGAGCTGTCAAAATCGTTGTCTAGCGAAAATCAGTTTGCGAAGCAGGGACCAAACATTGTCCAGCGAAATTCCCCCACAGGAACCACTGTTTTGTGAATCACTACAGCGATTGCAAAAAGTCAATGTCTAGCGAAAAAACTGTCATGTGGGGTAACTGTCTAGCGAGGCACCATTGTACTCCTAAAATCTTGATCTTGGAAGTAGAGGGTAGCCTAAGACTGCATGTTATGTATTCTTGCTTTCTGTATTTAAATGAAAATGTATTCCCTTAGAAAACCTAAATGGTCCAAAATTGTGTTGAAAATGACATTTTGCTTTGGTCCTGAGCTACAAAATACCTTGTAGAAATTCTGATTTAACCTTGGGAGAATCCACATTCAATTTTGTTTTCTCTCTATCTCTTCCATCCTCCCATTGAACAGAGTCTTTTGTTCATTTTATTCATTGCCCAAGTGGCGAATGCCATAAAAACTGAAGACAATCAATAATCAAAAAGGACAAAGGAAACAATCAAAAGTCAGCCACAGAACTGATAATTAAAACAACAAAATAAACATTAAACATTTGTCAGAAGAGCCTGGCTCAAATGTATACAATAAGGACACATGGATGAAGATCAATTGCTTTCTTTAGTATCCCATTTAGGGCAGTCAAGCTCTGAAGAAAACAAATCTTGAAACTGCTGCACAAATTTTTCTGTTGCTAATGGAAGACATGAGAACAGATTTATGGCTTTGACTTACCTACGCAAGTTCTACCATCAGGTGCCAGTTGTAGGCCTGGAGAAGGACAACGGCAACGTACTTCCCCTTTCACTACATCACAGCCATACTGACAATTTGCCATGGAACATGTGAGGGCATCTGTTGAGACACCATAATGGTCAACATGCTGAAAAGTCTTTATCAGAATTTCATTCTATCAAGCTTGAGGACACAGCAGAGAAATTAAGCAACAAAGGAATTCATGGAAAGACCACATAGGCATAGCTCAGTGACTTAGGTCTCTGGATGTGGAGCCAGAGGTTGGGAGTTCAATTCCTCACTGTGCCTCCTTGAGAGGAGCGGGACTCAATGATCCATAGGGTCCCTTCCAGCTATGCAGTTCCAAGGTTGTTGTTATTATTATTATTATTGTTATTATTATTATTATTATTAAGAGGAAAACCATGTAACTCTTACACGCATCTTTCATTCCATCTGCTTGGTATAGCAACGTTTCAATTCCCCTTCCAGGTGCGTGAGGTTATGACTCCCCCAAATCACTCTACGTTACATCCAGAAGGCATCTCATCAGGAAGGCTCCTATACCCTGTAGACTCATTCCGCCGACCAATACCTTAATATCTTCTAGCCATGAGAGACTAAACGGGATGCTTCAGAGAGTTCCTTGTGAAAAATAGCAATTCTTTGGGTGTAAAAGGTCGTCTCATTATTCCACAAGATTTTCATGGTTCTCTATAGCTTGCAAATCAGCCTATTTTGTTCTGTAATTGGACATAATACTCACTTCGTTTCTATTCTAATTGCTCGGACACAATGTTGGACAGTGTGGCTAAAGAACTAAAGGTTTTTCTTTTCCTGATTATGTGCTAATTATAGCATCTGATTTGACCCTGAGCATGAGGAACTTTTACCACAGCTCGGGTACCTCACAGGAAATGGTATCTGTAATAAACCAATAATCTGTAACATCCTGAAATCCACTTCAGCATCCTAAAACAAGACGTTTGTGCTCATGTGTAAATGTTCTCACAGACTGAGACCTTCAGTCCAACAAGGAATAAAAAGCAATTCTCTTAATGCTTTAATCTTATTAGATGTTGCCCTCCAAAAATTAAACAAAACTAATCCTCCATCATGGAGATGCTGCCTCCACCACCAAAAAGATTCTCTCCTTTCTCTCCCCCATGCTTGGCATGCCAAAGTATTTAAAATATTAACTTTATGGGAGCAAGAAGAAAGATGACCTCTGTGGAGTTTATGCTACAATTTTCAAACACAAAATGTCAACAAGCACCTGAAAGTTCTGGCCAGTTGAATTTATGGAATACTGTGATGCAGCTAACAATGATCGCCTTTCTCCAAGTGTTGTGCTACTCCATTCCTCAAGAGAATCATTCTGAATCAAAGAATGGCTACATTCACGCACTGTGGCATAATAAATGATTTATTTACTTTTTGCTGATTTGATTCAGTAGAGTTTATCCTTCATATATATGGTAGTCTGACTGCTCGGCTAGTGTTTAACGAAAAGTTTACATTTATTTTTTAAAAAAAAGAAGCAGAAGGGTTTTGACATACTGGAACATGATCCATCAGGCATGAGCATGTACCCGTTCAGGCAATAACACTTGTAGCTGCCAAAAGTATTCATGCACCGGTGTTTGCATGGCCTTGGTTTCAGTCCACACTCGTTGAGATCTATACAAGGCACAGGGGTTGCAAGAGGAAGAGGGGGGAAAAACAGTATAGGTATTACATATTAGCATTTTTAAAGATCTGGAGGTCAACTGCAACCAGGAACTCCCTCTAACCTAGTCGAGCTTTAATTTGTTCTATGATTCTGCATTGATGGTCATAATATCTTCACCTACATGTAATCAGACCCCTCTTGAATGCACAGTATACAAAATGCTCCTATTCTTTAACGCAGTATACAAAATGCTCCTATTCTTTAGATAGAAACTCTTTTAAGACAGATTTGGCTACTGATGACATGTATGGCTAAACAGCTTATTTAATTTCTTTTTAAAACAGAGGTCCATAAAGTTCAAGAGGTTATAAAGAAAAAATTAGACATGAATGGAAGAACATTTCCCCGCCTAGTAGACAGAATAGGCTCATCTTTCTTTTTTCCTCTCGCCCTCTTTTTAGATACTCACTGCTTAATAAAAGTGAGTCTCACCCCATCTCTTATACTGGGTAGATCAGACCACCGAATATGACACCATCTGGTATATTTTGGTACACATGTGTAATGATACTGGTCAGATATTAGCGGCATGGTCTTAAAATGCTGTGTGTATATTTAAACCGTTTCTGCTGAGAAGTGTATTAATACTTTGCTCCACTGAGATTCTATCACTTGTTGAATTTTCATTAAACCTGTACTGAATACTTCTGCTGAATTTACTTAACAGCTTTGTCCACAAAACAATTAAATTGTCCACAATGCCAGGGTTTTGTTTTAATACTTTAAGATCCATATTTGCTAAAAATTGTTAACATATTAGGAAGATGCTTAGGATCAGATTAATCAGTGTTCTATTCTTCAGCCAAAAGCGAAACATAGATGAATTAAAAATATTAACCAAAATCAGGCTGTACCTTGCTAAAAATTGTTAAAATATTAGGAGGATGCTTAGGATCAGATTAATCAGTGTTCCATTCTTCAGCCAAAAGCAAAACATAGATAAATTAAGAGTCTCACCTATAACTGTTAAATAAAAAATGCTGTAAAAAACATGTCCTTCCTCACTCTTAACATCTACTGGAAAACATGTAACAGCTTCAAGTTGTATTTTGTAGTATCTTCTGTCTTGCCTTGATAGAAAACATCGTACATGGGCAAATGAAAGAAAGTCATGAAAATTTAGATCCCAACATTGTCTTCAATGTTGTTCTGGGAAATTTATTGTGGGGGTGGGGTTGTAGCACAGCAGGAAGAACACCAGAAGGATACTACCCATGAAATAAATATTTCTGGCATTGGAAAAAAAATATTAACCAAAATCAGGCTGTACCTAGAAAATAGTTTCCCAACATTTTGGTTCTATGAAGCAGAACCAGAAACAAAACACATACAAATTTCATAGACTTTTTGTGCATTCACCTTTGGGCAATGCCACGTTCGAACTGTTCTTCTTTCGAACTGTACTAGCCTCTTGAGCTTTCATTTTAATTTAGCCTGGAAAACTATGGAAAATTGGAACCCTCTTCATATGTCAGTTATGGGTGTCAAGTACACTGCATCAATGCAAATTATGCCTAAAACATCCAACATCTGGGAAAACATTTTTGTGTCCAGTCTTTTGACAAAATCTCTCCTCACAGAATTATTCCTGATATATTCCATTGTTATGATGGTTAAGACAAAGACTTTGTCTTTTTGTGGGGGTGGGGTGGGATCGCAGCAGGAAGAACACCAGAGGGGTACTACCCATGAAATAAATATTTCCCACATAGGAAAAAATATTAACCATAATCAAAGACTTTGTCTTAACTGTCCTTATAACAATGGAATATATACAAGTGTTGACTTCAGTTCTAGTCATTCAATTGTTTTAGTTGAGTTGGGACTAATTATTTGGTTTAGCTCCTGATTTGCAACTCACTCTTTACAGAATGACATCACACAACAACGCTTTTCACGGCTTGCTATATATTTTGTCCTTTATGGCAGAACTGCAGCAAGTGGGTATAATCAGCCTTAAATCTCTTTTTAATTTGGATATGAGAGGAGAGTTGTAAGCTCTCCTGAGGCAAAGACTGACCTTTGAAAGGGAGGACTGGCTATTTCTGAATAGGTTCAGGCAAACTATTTATGAACAGGTTCAAGCTAAATAAGCAGCTTAACATCAGAAAATGGCATCAGCTTGCTAAACATCAAAAAAGTTCAAATGAACTGGTACACACATGTGCTTTTGGGGAAAAAAGGAGCAGGAAACATACCTTCCTCCTATTTTTGTTATTTTATGTGTTTTCTAAACATTTCATTTAGAATAAATATTCTCTGGACAAAAGAGGGGAAATTAGCCCTTATTATCCTCTAAGACAAAAGGTTACAAAACCTTACTCTTTCCATACAATCTACAATTGTTTTTGCTCTCCATGAAAGTTTTGATGGGATTTGAGAAATATTCTGATAAGCCCCATTTATGCTACTTGCTGAGATTCTCCCATCATTATTCCAAACTAAACCATCTCACAATGAAACTGTTCACACTTAGATGTTGCAATTATTTAGACAGCGTGGAACGGAAGGAACTCAAGAACAAAAGACAAAAATATTGTCACATATCGAATTTGCATACTAAAATGCATTTAAGCAGACCGAGTGTTACAGCACTGTGAAAAAGAAGTTTCAAGCACAAGCGCAGGCTGCTAAGCTTGGACACTGCACTGCAGGAAGAGATTATTAACATGAACACATAAAAAGTTTCAGAAACAGTACGATTTGTGCGTCACTGTATTTATATCTTGACTACTAGACCTTGTACCAACAGATTGTATGGAATCCACCTGCTGCTCCCTGAACGTAGCATCTCCAGACAGATGTAGAACTACTCATGCCAGAATTCCAGAGACTCAATGGTGCTCAATGAGGATAGTGATGGATCAGATGCCCCAGTGGTGTCACATGGTATAAGGCAGTGTTCTATGTTCCACTTACAATACTAAACGGAAACATCAGGGAATGAATGTAGGATCGTGTACATGCAAAGACTGAGTTACAGTCCCATTTCCTCAGATACTGATGCCCATTTCATGAAGGCAAGTAGATCTATCAGCTGCAACAATTGCCTGTGTACTGCCTGTATTGGATTTTAAATCTCAACGCAGGTATTAATATCTGCAGTAGGAACAAAAACATATAGCTACTGACAAGGACGAGATGCAAATTACTGTATTCAACAGAAATATACTGACACATCGACAATGACTAAGGAGATTTACAATTCTTACTTTTTTTCCCCTTAAGTTTATATAAGCAAGCAATATTTTTTCTTGGTTTAAAAGGGAGCTCAGGAAAGGCAGCATGTAGCCTGAAAGAGCCGAGAATGGAAGGAAATGAAAAGAACTGCTGAGGGCCAAGCTTTTCTAGAAGAGGAGATTACAGCCTCCAGGAAACGTCAGTGCTCAGTCGCTCTGCATGCTAATCATGCCACAGGCTGGGCTTTTATGTGACAGCCAAAGGAAGTTCATTATCCTTTCAGCATATTTGCAAGAGCTTTCACTATAGGTTTAAAGCCATGCAGGTGGAAAGAATGCACCACCTGAAGTAAAAGATTTTCCTCACCCCTCCATGGGAAATTTGCTGCATGATGATCCAGAGGGTTGAAAAAAGGTGGTTCACTGGGCCACTCATGTGAGGTTGCATAAAGATGTTCAGCTTCACAAGCAGAGGACAAGGCATTGTGATAAAAGTCAGAAGGTCAAGACCCAGTAAAACAATATGGCAGTTTGTTTTGTCAAGTATCAACAGCAAAAACTCACTCGGATAATAGGAGAGAGTAAAAAGAGAGATGCACTCCTGCATTTTCCCCTCCACTCCTGGACTCTTCATGTTGATGGTAAATATCTGAAAGGTCAGTTGAATTGCATTCAGCTGAATGTTATTAAACTCCTATATAACTGGAATCTCTGGTAAGGCAGAAATTCCAATTGTACAATGTTAAGTAAGGATGTCCAGCTGAATGCAAGAAGTGTTACAACATGGAGAAGGCAGCAATGGACTAGGAGACAAATTTCAAGGGGAGTGGCAATGAAAGAGCAGGAAGTTTGGTTCTTGTCTGTGAGAAGTCTTTAAAGCCTCGCACCTTCTCCACCTATTCCTAGCTGAAACCAGGCTTCACTGACTCAGAATGAAGGTGTTTGCATGTGCTTTGGGTTTGCAAAATGTCAGGAGCATCAGAAAGTCAGGAGCAATTTGGGTCCATCATGCCATTTGATACAAGGCGCCAGTGCAGTGACTCATGAGCCTTCCTGTTGCCCATGTCCTGGCAGCAGTGGTACAGGGCTACAACTACTACCAAGACGTAGGTAACAAGAAGGCTCATGAACCACTGAGAGTTCTGGTATTATCAGTGAAGCAAGCAAGTAACTTTTCTACACTTTCGACCTGTAACTCAGCCATGCTCTCTCCTGTAACAGGGAAGTAATTGTTTCCTCTCTCTCTCTCTCTCTCTCTCTCTCTTCTTAGATCCACTGCAATTTCATTCATATTAGGTCTATTGCCCCAAATAAGTTGTGAATGAAACAAAACCCCCAGTGCTAAGCATGTACACAATGGACTTTCTATTTTCTAAATGTAGTTTAACTGCTTACTCAATTTACAGCACAATCTGTCTTCTATGGAACTGGAACTGATTAATTTAACAGTGCAATCCTATACCTGTCTACTCAAAAGCAAGCCTCACTGAGTTCAATGGAACTTACTCCCAGGAAAAGGCATAGGTTTGCAGTCCCAATATTCTCAAACTGTGTACATGATATCATGTACTAAAAACAACCTGTTCATAGAGAAGTAGTGAAACAATTTTAATTTCTAGCGCTCAGCTGAAGTAAATTAAGAAAATAATAAGAATCTGTAGGTTGAATATGTCCTTTATAGAAAAATCAATTAATTTTCTGAAGTAATTGATCACATAAATTCTATGGTTTCATTCTTTATTTAATCTACAAGAAATGGAAGGGAACAGAAAGTTAAATTGCATGCCTTACAGAATGAATTTTCTTCCAATTTCTGTCTAAGAGAACCCCAGTGTGTTTATATGTGTATATGCATTTATTATACAGAGAATATAAAAAAGGCAGGTTTTTGGAGTATACAAACATAGAAAACTGCTTTATGCTAGGTCAGATCAGTGACCCATCTAGCCCAGTATTGTTTACACTGACCAACAACTGCTCTTCAGGCTTTAAGGCAAGAACTTCTTCTAGTTCTACTTTGAGAGTCAGGAGATTAAACATGGAACTTTCTGAAATACTTCTCTTATGGTGAGTATTAGGATTAGGAAAGAATAGAACTAGATAATCCCATTTGATTTCACTGCTAGTACTCGATCTCTCAATTTGCTGAAGGTCTAATCTGCAGGAAAGATCTGCAGAATCAGAAACAGAGAGAGAGAAAATTTAACCTCTTGAACTGCAGCCATATGTCTGAAAAATATGTCTTCTGTGCAGCAGCTATGACCAAATTGAAGAAATCCTTCAGTGGTCCATCAGTCTCCTCTTCTAAATACTGCTACCTGCCCTTTAGAATACAGGAACATAAAATTGCAAAAACATGTCCAGCTAGGAAGACTTTACGCCCTTCTTAATAGATGGCAGTCGTCTACTTAAAGAATGCTAGGAAGCAGTCCTCAATTTGAAGATATTCTCTGCTTTAGCCCTTGGCCAACTGGAATGGACCTGGTGTTTTAAACAACAGCTCCCATAATTCCCAACTTGTATGGCCAACGGTCAGGAATTATTGCTTTATCGATTAGGTGCAATTACATCTTGCCTCTCCTTAATGAGCTCAAGGCATCACACATGGGTGTCCACTTTCCCCAGTATACCTTCAAAACTGGATGCAAGAGGACAACTGGCCCAAGGTCACCTAGTAGGTCAGACAGGTCCAGGGGAACTAGAATGCAGTTCTTTCACATCCCAGCTCAAGATCCTAACTACTTAATCATTACACTGGCTGTATCTCCAAAGCAAATGGATGACACTACTTGCCATTAAAAGTCTATCTAGTCCAAGATTCAAAATAACCATAAGAAAGGAAGATCAGGGGAGTTTGCACCCCCCACACACACACCCCAGTTATCAGTTATCACCTGAAAAGCTGTGTTAAAGAGGCACACACAGTCACAGATATAATGCATTTCTTTTTATAATACAGGCGTATCTTAGTTTACGAACCCCTCGGTTAACGTAATTTATGGATTACGATAGGAAATCCGTTGAAAATAATGCCTCGGTTTACGGGCTTTTTTCTGGATTTTTTTTTTTTTTTAGTTTGTGAAGGAAGTTTCCCCAGGATGCACTGTGCCTTGAGGTTTATAGTGCCACCCCGTTCCTATAGCAATTTGCATTCCGGTTTACGAATTTTTTGCATTACACAACATCCCAGAAAAAACATTAATTTTGTAAACCGAGGTACACCTGTACAGTTAATATTTCTGAATTTAATTTAATTTCAAATGTTATACATACCTCTGCCTTCTTTTTTGGTCATGCATAAATAGCCACCGGGCACTTAAAAGCTTAACACAAAACATCATGTCTAGTTTTGTCCAATCAAGTTATTAATTATTATGGGACCTTCTCTCTCCAATGTGCCCATTAAAATAAACAAGAGCTGCATTGTTAAATTAGAGATTAATCAATATAATTTTGGAAATAACACAGAAATGCCTGTTAAATTCTTGTCTAATTCCCTTTTAAATCTGCTCCTCAATGACTCCCCAGACACACACACCGCTGATACCCAATGGAGTGCATTAATTTGACACTTTAAATTGTTGTGCACCTACAACTATTTTTGTGGTGAGCAGTTGTAAAAATAATACTCTAGAATGATGGTAAGATTGCAGAAGAGATGACGTTGGATGTGTATAGCCCTGCACATGGGGAAACTATGACAAAAATGACTGCGAGGCGGACAAAGAAAACAAAGGGAAGGCTAGTGGGGGAGTTAGACTCTGCACGAACCTTTCAGAGAAGACTCAGTAAATATATATGAACAAGCAAGTTTTTATAAAGCATTTAGAAATCATTACACAATGGAATTATATCAAGAACATAATTCTGAAATTATACCACATTCCTGGAAGCATCAGATTTTAATTAAAATTCATTTCCTTTTCCATAATAAGCTTAGGAAAGTTTTGTCATGGTTAACTAGAAAAAGTGCTTTGGAGGATTCAACACTTTGGGAACAAGTAGATAATGTGCAGTATGCCAAAAACAAAATACAAGAATAAAAAGTTGAGTAAGAATGTATTTATAGACATATATGGGGAGAATACATTGATTATATATTAATAAAGGTAAAGTGACATACACAAGAGTCAATGCAATTTTGGAAGGGGATCATTGATTATATATTAATAAGGGTAAAGTGACATATACAAGTCAATGCAATTTTGGAAGGGGAATTGGGCTCCATAAGAGAGGGGAAATGGTTGTATATACAAATATTATGCAAATAGAGCCTTCTTCTGTTGTCTATTTAAGTGATGTATTTCCTCCTTTTTGGCAATGTGAAAGTGGTTGCCATAGTTTTCCTTGTTTTAAAAAAATCTTGTCTTTCACCCATGTTCACCATCAAAATTAACATTTTGACCTTAAGATCTCATTGCACTGACTTAAATATAATAAATAATGACTCGTAAATATTTTAAGGACAATATTTGTTTTGAAATGCACTAAGAAAAATGTACAGCAAGACTCCTTGAGAACAGTGGAAATTCACATTCAGTTCAACAGCATGAAAAAGTGCCATGGGTTTTATACAGATAAATGAGATTGCATGCCATCTTCAGTACTGTCCATCCAGTTGGTCACATGATGGAGCCACAAAATTAGCACTACCAAATTCAGCAGTCTGTCAGGTGATTCAGGGAACCAATTATATAGTATCTGCTCATGTAAAAGCTCCAGAAGTAGCTCTTATCCCATTGTCTGCTCACTTTGCCACTGAATGAAGCTTTTGCTATGGGGTTTTCCCAAATGAAGTTTCAAATGTAATTGATCACTTGATCAATACTGTGAGGAATATTTTGCTTTGTTTCTGTCTTCTTACCTTGGTTGCATGTTTTCCCTGTGTATCCTGGATGACATTTGCACTTATTTGGTCCAACACATTCACCATGCTTACATCCAGGCTGACATACAGCTGTGAATACAGAAAAAGGCAACTTTATCATGCTTTTCCTCCAACTGAAGCTCACAAATTTTACATTATAACAGTGCATTTAAAACATAAGGAGCAGGGAGGATGACCTGTAGGAGAGAAGTGATGGGAGGACGGAGTCTTTAAACCTTCTCCATCAAATCACTTCCCTGCTAAAACACCACCCTACTCAACTGCTGCCCAATATTTCTCTTCAGGTAAGGATTCCTTATAAGGTACAAAGGCAAGGAGAAAATGAACTTTCTGACTTAGAGCCAGCCTGTGTGGCCTTGGGCAAGTGGCACAGTCCAAGGATGCCCAAAGAAGAAAGGAATAATAAATCAATTCTGATTATTCTATTCCTGGAAAACCTCGAAAAGGGTTGCCATGTCAGAACTGACTTGATACATGATTGTGTGTTTTCACAAATCTTAACTAAGGGCAGCTGGCCTTTAAACTTTAATCAGCTCAATATATCAAATCTTCCTATCTCTTATGGAGATACTCACTGAAGGAGTAATATAATGCCTATTCTGAATAAAACAAGCATTATATTTCCAGGGAGATATTCAATTATATACCAAATTATGGCATTAAATTATAATTATGTACAGACAAATCAGGAGAAACAGCATATTGCCGCAATTTCTGTGATTGTGCATATAGAATTGTAATACATGCGCACACACACATACAAAACTCTACCAGTTACACTGCTTTCATTTTGTGTACAAGCAAATCACTATTTCACATCAAGATAATACATGACAAACATTCCTTAGCAATGCTACATAATATTGGAATACCTCCAGTATGTTCAGTGGAATATACAGTAAAATCTCAGGCAATGGTTCTTGAAAAGAGCACCAGGCACGGCAGTATGTGCCTTAAGGGAAGCTGGATTCAACTTGGTAAAATTAAGCCACTGTGATGGATGTATCGACCATCTTTTGCCTATGAGAACACGAAAGCTCTGGGAAAGTCTGATCTTCACTCTCTTGATAATATTTGAGCAATGATGTCAGCCTGACCCCTTGTGCAAAGGCACTTGAGGAATTCTTGTTGTGGCTTGCGCTACAAGCTGACAGGTACAGGGAAACTTAGGAAGCATTAACATTGGCCAGAAAGCATAACATCCCTGTACAATGACTGAAATGGCTATCTACTAGGTTAAGAAATACAGTGGTGCGTCGCCGGACGAAAAACTCTCAAGACAAAAGCGTTTTGTGATTGTTGTGGTAACTTGCAAGATGGCTTTTTCTATGGCCATGCTTCGCAAGATGATTTTTTTCCCCCACAAAAGTGATGCCTTGCAAGACAAAAATAATTCATTTGTCTTGCGAGGTTTCCCATAGGAATGCATTGCAATACATTCCTATGGGAAACCGCGCTTTCGCAAGACAAAAATTTCACCATACGAGGCTACTCGCGGAATGAATTACTTTCATCTTGCGAGGCACCACTGTACTCTTATTGGATCACTAAAATGTTACAAATAAGAGGAGCTTTTGAGTTCCCTAACAGGCTTCATAGGAGAAAGTCCAAAAGCTGGACCAAAGGTGACGGCCACGGTTCAGGCAGCAAAGACTACCAGGAAGGCAAAATGAAGAGGGGCAGGATTTGTTCTTGATCATCCCTGAATGCAGGAAATGTAACAATGGGCTCAAGTTACAGGAAGCCAGATTTTGGCTGAATCTCAGGGGGAACATCTTAACTTCTAGAGCAGTATGACAAATGAACAAACCAATGACCTCAGGAGAAGGTGAGCACTCCAAGGCTGGAGGCATTCAAAAGAACACTGGACAGCTATCTGTCAGATCTGCTTTGATTTGGATTCCTGCTTTGAGCAGGAGTTGGACTCAGTGGCCTTATTAGCTCTTCCAACCTTATTCTATGATTCTATGGTTATATCCTACATGTGACAGAGATGGCAAAAGTATCAATGTGCAGGGTCTCTACCTTACTGGGTAAATGAGATGATAGAAAGCCAGAAAAAAGAGCTTGGGCAATTTGCATTTTAAGCCTCCATCTCCCAGGAGCTGAGTTGTAGGGGAAGAATTGTGGGAGCTGTAGTCCACAAAGTAACTTTTCCTAGCTCTGGCCCAGAAGACAGTGTTAGTTGGCTTAGTGTAAACTCAGCTATCTTATATCTGCCAGGAGGATCAGATCTTACTGATAAAAGCTGCATATAATTTTGCTTTGTCTTTACTACAAAGGGTATTTTTGTGGACTTTCCTCCTTTGAACACATAGAGAGGATGACTGCACTTGCTGCCTGTGTCCAAACTTCATGCATGGATTTGGTCAGACAGAATCAAGCCTAATAGTTGTTGTGGGTTTTTCTGGCTCTTTGGCCGTGTTCTGAAGGTTGTCCTTCCTGACGTTTCGCCAGTCTCTGTGGCTGGCATCTTCAGAGGACTGGAGTAGGAACTTTGTCCATGCTCTGTGTTCCTACTCCAGTCCTCTGAAGAGGCCGGCCACAGAGACTGGCGAAACATCAGGAAGAATACGGCCAAAGAGCCAGAAAAACCCACAACAACTATTAGGCTTGATTCTGTCTGACCAAATCCATGCATGAAGTTTGGACACAGGCAGCAAGCTGAATGGGTGGAGGTCAGGAAGAAGGATAACATGCCATAATATTGCTCTTTTTTTCCAGAAGAACACATTAAAACAGCTAACAGAGATGGAAAACAACAACAATTCCTTGGATATTAATGTATCAGAAACCTTGCTTTGAACACATGAGACAGGAACCTTCTTGAAGCAAAGCAGAGCTCATTCTGACTGATGTTAGGACAGAGGCTGCCAATGCAATCTTAAATCTGCATACTTGGAAGTACATCTCCTTGAGCTCATGGGGACATGCAGTAGTCCCTGATAAGTGTGTGTGTGCCTTCACTGTAGATCTTTTACCCTGTTTGGAATATAGAAGCTGACTTGTATCGTATGAGGCCCCCGTCCCTCGGATTCTGAATTGTCTACAAAAGTTATGGAGAGCCACAGATGCTCCAGGGGACAAGAACCCACTGTATTTTTCATCAAAATGGTGTGTCCAGAGGGCACACTGTGGCCTTGCTGGGCCACTTGTAGTCCACAGGCTACACAATTCTCATCCCTGGCACAACTGCATTCCAGAATTTTGGGCAGAGAAATTTTCCCACCCCAGAGACACTTGCCTGGGATGAAGCACCATTTAACGCAATGGAATTTATTAAGTAAACATGCATAGGATTTCATTTGTATATTACAGTCTTATGGATGTTTACTCAGAAATAAACCCCATCATATTTTCAAATGACGGTATATAATACTGTTCGCATGGGATTTGAAATTATGAGGTTGGATCCCTTGAAGAAAGCAATTAACATAATTACAATGATTATTGCCATCGTTTCAATATGTACAGAAGTTTCGGAGAAATTAAATTTTTGTCCATACTGAGATATACACACAGACATATCCATAGACACACAAATGGTTGAAAATAATATAATACTTTGATTGTACGAGACATTCTATCCACAGTTAAAAGTAAAAGCCTCCATAAATCTACCATGATCCTAAAATAATAAACAAAATAAATGAAGGCATATTTCCTGCAAGTTTAAATATAGCTCTTATACACCCAAATATGATTTTTAGAGGTCATACCGCTGAAACACCATTGTGCCAAAATTATTTCAAAAAAAATATGTTTAGCTAACCTTTGGGTTGGCACCTTATCCTGGCTATTCTCTGCCTTAAGATGTAGAAAGCTGCAAAACAAATGTCCATAAAAAGCAATTCCAGCTTTTTTTTTCCCTGCAAAGAGGATGGACTTGGCTGGGATTTTATCAACTTGCTACATTCCCGGAGACTTACACACATTCAACATTCAAAGCTTTTTCTGAAATAAGAAAAAAATGAACTAGGACACATTTAAAATAGAAATTCCTTAGGTCACTATCTTGTTATGAGATGTTCGCAAATAGAGACATTCTTCACAAAAGCTACTAAAAGGTGATGTTGTGCTATTCTTGTTCCACTGGGCAAAGAACTTCCACTGCTTTCTTTGGTTCATCCCATGGTAAAAACATGTCCAATTTCATGTTTTTGTTACTGATACAAAGCATTCTCCAAAAACAAAGAAAGAATGTGTTTTGCCTTTAAAGATACTGTATCCTTTCATAAGCATTCTAGAATACCCATTTGTTTTTTAGTTGGAAATCGTAGTTTATCAACATGTAGAAGGCCAAATGTTCCCCACCTGTGCTCAACAGCCCTTGCATTGGTTTAAAGTTGCATAAAACTACATAAAGAGCAAATTCTTTAGGAATTGGCATAAGACTTGTCCAGGAATAACATCATGATCGGCTGAGATATGGCAGAGCCCAAAAAAAGGCTCATGTTTTTGGGCTTCCTACTTCAGTGATAAGACCTTGTTTCCAGCTGTTTTATAGAGGGCTACAGTTTGCAGCTATTTTGTTTACATGGCCATGTTATACTTTGTGTTTCCCTACTGTGTCGACAAATACAGTGGTGCCTCGCTTAGCGATCGCTCCGTTGAGCGACGAAATCGCTTAGCGATGGGGTTTTGGCCATCACAAGAGCGATGGTTTTGCGATGGTCCCTATGGGGAAAAATCGCTTTGCGATGATCACGGGGAAGCGATCATGGCAAAGTGGCCCTTTTTAAACAGCTGATGGCCGCCCGCTGTGTGTCCTCGCTTTAGAGACAACGAAAATGGCCGCCCCTATGGAGGATTTTCGCATAAGGTTAGTTTTGAAGCCCATAGGAACACATTAAACATGTTTTAATGCGTTTCTACAGGCTTTTTAAAATCGCTTGGCGATTAAATCGCTTAGCAACGTTTTTCCTGGAACAGATTAATGTCGCTAAGCGAGGCACCACTGTACATGGTTCAGAGTTCTGGTTTGGGGGCAAACACAAGCCATGATTTACTTATTCAGACAAAATGGGAATGGCCTCTGGAAGCTGCAACATAGAACATATCTGCACACAAAGGGAAGAAAGAGGTCAAGAATCTCAGATTTCATGTAACTTTGAACCATAATGTTACATGCAAATGAATCCCTGAAGTCTATTAATCATTTGATTTAAAAAGTTAGTAATTTGCATGGGGATAGACATGACATTTGAACATTTCTATGTAGAGATATTTTACGAGTTACCTTTATACCTTACAGGTATGTATTGGGCTATATGGTAGTAACAGCCTATACGATGTGGCATATTAGGGACCTCAACTATTAATTTTGGATACCAGTGACAATGGGGGGACTTCTTCTGAAGCTCTCAGAGAAAGCAGTTGTGTCACATCAGTAAGCATGTGATTTTCCCCCCTACCCAGGCAGCTTGTGTGTCAATCAGATGTTTTATTAAAATACAAAACTTGCAATGGGCAGAATATTCATTCTACAGCATGTCTTACTTTTTGCTCTCCATTTATATCAATAAGATGCTAACACACAGTACAAGATAGGGTTAAAGGCTGTTAATGCTTAACAAGTAAATATATGGAGCTGTGACCTAAGGGGGACACAGAGACCTCTTAACCACAAGGTGGCATCCACTTATGTAGTGAGAGAGGGATCAAACCTCCTGGTCCTGTCTTCACCACTGAACTTCCAACAAATGGTCTGAAGTGAGACTGCAGACTCGATGTGTATAAGCTAAGTACAACTGAGAATTCCATGCTTTTTGCACAGTTCCCAATCATACAGAGACATGTAAGTTTGGGAAGAAGTATGCAGATTTGTGGTTTTGGACAGCAGCTCCCAGAATCCTTGAAGCACCGATATTACCTTGGAAATTCGGGAAGCTACAGTCTAAACCAGCGGTCCCCAACCTTGGGCCTCCAGATGTTCTTGGACTACACAACTCCCAGAAACCTACACCATCACCTCTTCTGGCCAGGATTTCTGGGAGTTGAAGTCCAAGAACATCTGGAGGCCCAAGGTTGAGGACCACTGGTCTAAACCAATGGTTCTCAAACCAGATGTTTTTGGACTAAAACTCCCAGAACTGCTAGCCACGATTTCTGGGAGCTATAGACCAAGTACATCTGGGGACCCAAGGTGGGGAACCAATAGTCTAAGCACAATATCTGCAGACCTCTGTCTAAGAGCACAACATTGTAAGAGCATCTCCATTCAGGAGATGATGAATAGTATCAGCAGGAATAAAGTTTCTCTCCTCCATACATGGATCCCATGAACAATCTATTTAATATCTGTTGTAAACAAATGTAATACAGATGTTATTCCCTAAAAATGCAAGACAGAAAGAGAATTCCTGCTAATATATGCCTTTTGCCACAAATTCTGTTGAAAAATGGATATGCAGCATCTTGTCCATGGGAAAAGCTAGGTTTTATTAGGCATGGGGAAAGGATACTGTTTCCTTAATAGGCAGCATACATTCACTTGCAATAGTCTGCTAAAATATATCTTACTGTTTTCAAATACTATTACTAAAGAAACACAGAATAGCAGAACCTCATTTTCCTGCACAAACCAGAAAAATGCATTTCTGTATTTTAAGTACAGTGTATTTTAACATATATGAAAGAAAATGCATTGAGTGAAAGTAATAGTCAAAAATTATACACATTCTTTTTATGAGTAATCATCAAAGCCATAATCTGCTTTCAAATTTAAGAATTCAGATTAGAGTATTTTAAGTAATTATACAGAATTGCATTTATATTTAAAAACACACAGAAACACACAAAAACCCTAAGCAACCAAAGATTTTCACCCACATAATACCTGTAATTCATGAAAGGGTTTCTTTGGGCAACACCCAAAATAATCCCCACAATTAAGTATAAACATGCATTAAAAGGACATAAATCAGAGATAGCAGAATTTAGCATGTATTTTTGATCCCAAAGCATAAAGGAGGAACAGCGCTCTCCAGAGCATGGTTTCTTTGCACTGCAGCAAGAAAGCAGAAGCATGCAAAGCTATGAGTTATAGCAGCACCTCTAACACCCTCTGTTAATTGTCTAGGCAAACCCCAGCCTTTCTTACGTTTGAAGGCAGGGGAGGAAACCTGAATGCATTTTATTGAACCTGGCTAAGGAAGGCAGCCAGTTATGAGGCTATCAAAGATATTTTGCTGGTGCTGGCTAATCTATATACATACACTTTTTAGAAAATCTCATTTATTACAGCAGTGGTGTTAAAACTGTGTTCTGGCTCCCAGAGGTTCTTTAGAAGATCACTAAGAGAGGATAAGCAGCCCGAGACTAAAAAGCAGCTTTCACTCAGCTGCTGGACTTCTATACCAATGCGCAATTAGAGGGTTACAGACCTCTAATTGTCAGAGCAGACAATTAGAGGTCTGCTGTGAAATATACTCTCTATGTTGGATAGAAGTGAATCATTACAGGTCTGATCAGTTTGTGCAAACCCCTAGAACACATCACCAAAGTCTGTGTCAGCTAAGTGAACTGAGAAATCTTATAGGGAAGTAAAAAGGTTGGAAGCCAATACAGCAGGGCCTTGATTGTAATTGGGATATTAAATATATAGAATTATTTGATCTGAAATGTATGTCATTAACATTGTGACCATACCTACGTAAACCCAGAGGTCAGTTCTACTGTCCCCAACAGACTGCAATCTATTGCTAGTGTATTTAGAATTACAGCCAAATGCAGAAAATGCAGGGAAAATTAGATTCTAGAGATGGCAGCAAAGAGAGATTAAAAAATGACACTGATACATTTTCCAATAAGATCTGGCTTTCCTCTGTAGGAAAACTTCTTGCTCAAAAAGTGGTTTGGCTAATCTATGGGAACTGGGGCCAAGTTGTTTGTTTGTTTGTTTGTTTGTTTGTATGTATGTATGGATGTATGTAGGTATGTATGTATGTATGTATGTATCCGTCCGTCCGTCCGCCCGTCCATCCATCCATCCATCCATTCACTCATTCAGCTTGTACACCATTCCATAGTGTACACACTATATGTGCAGTTTACAACATGTTAAAATCACATATGATAAAAGAAACAGAATTACATACAATAACTACCATAAAACAGATAAAATTTGTCCTTTGCTATAACCTAGATAGAATTAAACAAATTAAAACAGATTTGAATGTCTTAGGTAGAAAGCACTAATAAAATATGGCTTTAAATAATACTGTTTTTACTAATATCTTAAGGCACGTGACGAACCTACCGTATTTTTCGCACCATAAGACACACTTTTTTCCCACAAAACAGGGGGGTGGAAAGTCTGTGCGTCTTATGGAGCGAAGAAAATAGATTATATTTTCCTATTTTCTTCTTCTAAAAAGTGGTGTGTCTTATGGAAAGGTGTGTCTTATGGAGCGAAAAATATATTGTTCTAAAGGATAGAGGGCAAGATGGAAAAATCACGGTTCCTAGTGTTAACTCTTTTCGCCTCTTTCGGTGTCACTATTTTTAACATCATGGATTGTAAAGGATAGAGGGCAGGATGGAAAAATCATGGTTCCTAGTGTTAACTCTTTTTGCCTCTTCAGGTGTCACTATTTTTAACATCATGGATTGTGAGAAGTGGTTGGGATGTGTACATGTTTTGTGGAAGAGATGTTCTAGCTCATATTGAGGTCCTAAACCATTAAGGGCTTCATGGGTCATGACCAGCACTTTAAATTGAGCACAGTACAGTGGGGTCTCTACTTAAGAATGTCCCTACTTAAGAACAATTCCACTTAAGAACAGCTCCATTTGCTAAATTTTGCTTCTACTTAAGAACCA